CCAGCCACAGTCTATAAAAAACTGAGGAGATCCGAGGTTTTCGTGGTTTTTTCCTGGTTTCCTGGGCTGCTTCCTGTCGCATCTTGGGATGGCTGGGGCTACCTCCATGTGTTCGGCAGCATCCACCACCATCTGCTCCAGGCACCACTGCGGTCCCTGGTGATGAGTCACAGCAGTCGCAGTGGCCATGAGGCACTGCTTGGACACTTCCACTCGGGACTACTGGGATCAGGTTTTGTATATAGTTAAAGATCCTTTGTCCCTTATTAATTCCCTTTTCCTTTCCTCTGTTGTTTTTTCATTAAACTTGTTACAGTCTTAACTTCCAACCTTGTGCGAAGCATATTTTTCTTTTTTTCCTCTATTCCCTTTTCTTAATCCTCCCCCTGGGAGGGTAGCAGACAATAGAGAGAAAATCCTGCTCTCTCTCTCTCTGACACTTAAACAGAGACAGTAGCCCATTCCAGTGCATAATAACCCTTTAGGTGAACAAAGTTTTCCTAATGTGCAATCTAAACCTCCCTTGGTGCAACTTGAGACCATTTTCTCTTGTCCTACTGCCTGTTACCTGGGAGAAGAGACTGACTCCCACTTCACTACAACCTCCTTTCAGGGCATTAAGGTCTTCCCTTAGCTTCCTTTTCTTTAGTGTGTGCACATATATTTATATATATTTTCCAGGTATATATATAGTATATACCTACATGACAAATATATACATTTGAAGCAGATATATCTCTTTGAGTTTGGTCCTGAATAAATTTCTTATAATGTATTAGTCTCATAGATGGGCAAAATGCATCCATTTAACCATTAATACTTCTGGTAGCACTCAGTATCATGTTTAGAAATGAAACAGTTGTTTCAATATATTAATCTAAGTGAGGTTGAAAGTTTTAGGCAAAATGCTGTTTTAGGTAAGTCCTTGTGGCAATTCATCATTTTAGTCTGCTCACTGCTGGGGCTAAATTTCCTTCTGCAGGACACAACTAGTGAGAGTAATCTGATATATGAAGCATAACTAAACTGTGAAGACAAAATGCTTGGCTCCTGCCATAACCTCATGTTTAATCAAAACTTCAGACGGCAGAGTAAGAAATCTATCTGAAAAACCCTCATGTTGCTCTTTTTTTATGAAGGTAAAATGCCTATCACTTCTCACAGATAGTGGAGTCACCTTTTTTGCTTTTTCAGATCAGCCTAAAGATATGGAGGTTTGAGGATTCAGCTTTCACATTTTCACTATAGGTCAGTATTTTCAGGACAGATCTGTCACTATGTAGTTCAATGTAATTGATCAAAACAAAGAAGACCTACATACCCAAGGCTTTAAACATTTGCATCCCTCCATACTTTCCTTCAAACAGAACAGTATTGTTGAGTGGGTTGAAGGCACGACACATTCTCACCAAAACCACTTCCAAGCAGCCTATCAGACATGAAAAAGAGCAAAAGTATCACATATTACTGTAAATTAGAATAAAGGAACTTTCAAGAAAATATTTAGGAAGACACAAATCATTAGAAACATCAGCATTTATACAAAAAAGCAGCTTCATTCAATGTGTATAAAAAGCCCTAGCTTCATTTGGATAGAGGGGCAGAACATCACAAGATATTTTTAGAGAGAAAGTAGAAGTTAAAGTATTGTCAAGAACACCCCTAAATTGGGTTTTACTTTTGTTTCTCTTGTTCTTCTTTCAGGCTGTGGAATAGCCAAATGAATATTTCTTGTTTTCTCCTTATCTTTCCATATTATTTCCTAACTGGAGAAATACAGAGTTTTTTAAAATGAAAGGAAAAATTTCAAGCATCCTTTAACTAAATCCAGATCTTGTGTCAGAGGAACTCTGAATGAGTATTCATTTGCAGACTTGCTTTTGTTTTCTCAAGAAGTCCTGATTTTCTAACTCCTGCTCAGCATTAACAACAAAACAGAAAAAGAAAACCTGACATATCTATACATGCTGAAGCTAAACAGAGCTGTCCGACAGTACAGTCAAATATAACCACATCTTTTGCTGAGGGTGCACTTGTGTTGTTAGCTTTGGCAGCCAAATGAAGGAAATTGCTTGGGGTGCACTGGCATCTGCAGAATTTTGTTTTCCTAGAAGGTTGCCTGCATGTTCCCAGGATCTCTGTATCCCTTCTCTTTGCACCTGTGCCACCACCTCAGTCCAGCCCCATGCCAATCCACAGCTCTTTGTGTACAGAGCACTGAATCACACTGGCTTTCAGCCTTAATAAAGAGCTCTTGCTTGAAATAGGAATCACTTCTTATGCTTTAATGAGCTGCCTCACACACCATCCTGCCTTTTACACATGGAGGAAACAAGAAACTGATATGTCAGGGTAAATGCAATTAATTACCAGTTGCGGTTCACTTCGTCATACCATTTTGTCCTCCTGAGTTCGGCAGTGTTACTATGTAGTCATGATAAATCTTGTCACGATTCTTGCGGAGGACAGAAATTACCGAGTCCCATGACAGGGAAGGAAACCCTTTTCCCCCTTGCCCTCATGCATGCACGTGCACACCCAGGCACGCACAGAGAGCATGGCCAGAGCACACTGCCATAATCCGCTCTCATTTATTCTGAAACCAACTGGCGCCAGCAGGGATTTTCCCTCCTGTGCACTGGCTGGAGGGTATTTCTGTAGTCTCATTAAAAAGATTAGAGATGACCACAGAGGCAGGCCCCGGTGAGCCTGTGTTCGTTTCACTAATGACAAGTGGGGATTTTACAGGGCGGCAGATGACTGATTCGACCAGCTCAATTCGCAGGGTCCTTCCACCACATGTCAAGTTGGAGACTGCAGTTTGTGCAATGACTGTGTGTGTGCTTGTACTTAATAACCACAACTGACTGCAGAGGGAACAAGATCAGAAGGCAGTAACATGATTAATGGGGAAAAATATGGAATGGTTAATGTAGCTAATGAAACAGATTGAAATTAGAGCTCCTTCAAAATTAAAAAGATTTGCAGAACAAGACAGCAAAGCACATTTCTAATGTGCTGGGTGATAAACCAGCCTCAAGCCTCCAGCGTTTACCCACCTGACTTAAGGAGAAGAATTTGGTCATTCTGGCAGAGCTCCATGAAGCCTGTTATGCGCTTTGCAAACTCCACCACATACTGTATAGCGTGGGTGATCTGAATGGCACACTGCTGCCACAGAGCTTCTCTGGTCTTCCAGGAAAACATGCAGGGAAAAGCAAAAGTGGTGAGCAAGTGGGTTCATCAGTGCGTTAAATGCTTCAGGAGGCCTTGCAGAAAGGCGTACTCCTCAGACTCCACCCCCAACTCCAGGCAGCGCTAGCAGCATCTCTGCTTCTCAAGGTACCAGACACTTTTCACTAGAAGATTGTGTTCACAAGCTGATTGCCTCAATGATGTGAACTCTGGCATTGCCCCTCCAAAGGGGGAGAATCCATTGTCCAATGTTAAAAGGTGATTCTAATGTTGGCTTTTGTGCAAGACAGACAAACAGTGCCACAAACAATGTAAATATCCCGGAGTACTCTTAGGGAAGAAGTTGCACAGTGCTTCTAAGGGATCCAACAGAATATTTTTGCTAGTTTGAAACTTAAAATAACTTATAATTAAAGTACTATTGCAGTCTGAACACTGATTGCATCAAAATTTTATCTCCTTGCTAATAATGTTGCTTGCACACAGAAGTCTGGAAATGTAAATGAATGCTCTTGGTTTGCATGTCCCAGCTCTGCAAGCTGTGGTGTGTTTTTATTCTTGATAGTGCTGCATAGCCCCTCAGCTTTCAAAGAACAAGCTGGAGTCTCTCCTGTCTCTTGTGTGATCACCTAATGTGCCAATAGAAATCTGACTGAAGAATCCTTCCTAGTGATGCTGGCACAAGAGGAACAAAGATACTATTGACTGGACTACATCTGAAGAGGTTAAGAAGTTATTTGTTATTCACATGAAAAGTGGATGTGTTTTCAAAATTAGACGGACACTAAGTTACGTTGTCATACTTTCTTAAAATCCTTACAACAGAGGATCCAATCCTGATCACATTAAAGTCAGTTGAATTTCTGCATGAAGTTTAGACCTGTGATAACAAATAAAGCATGGAAAACTGGATTCCATAACCATACTTAAGCTTCAACGTCAGCAAACATCCCCAACATGCCAGAAAGCTGCAGCTTCTTTTTATGAAGTGTCACTCCTTAGCTTTCAGTAACCAGGTCCTCAAAGTTATTTAAAAGATTATTTTGACCTATATGAAACTCATCAGCATATTCTTGACAAATGCATTCCACAATTTCAAACTATACAGAGTAGAAGAAAAAGCATGTTACAGGATTGTACCTTGCTCTGGTAAACCTTTATTTCCTCATATGTGTGGGTCTGCCACGCTAGCTGGTGTAGTTCCTCCATTGTATATTGACATGTCTCCAAGTGAGATTTAATGATATTCTGTGCAATTCGATCTGCAAAGAGAAAAATAAAACATAGCTTGCATGAAACAGTGAACAGTGATTTGCAATAGCAAAATGTTGAAAACATTAAAGCTGTTGGAAAATATCAATTTAAAAAAAATAAATCTTTTCTTTCCAATGCTACATTTCTCTCTCTTTTTTTTTATTTCTGAAGATGACTGTTGCAAAATTGTTCAGCATTCAATCCAAAGCCAAGTAATGCTTGATAAATAGTGGATCTGCACATGAAAATAACAATGAATCTTGTGAAACTATCCAGACTCCTTCATTCTGGAAATGAATTCTTTTTTTTCCTGTGTTTAATAAATGCTGTTTGGAGACCTTGGTTATTTGATCACTTCTGTCTGTCCCAAGTCTGTGCAGCTGCCCAGCTCTGACTGCTAAATCCTGACATGGGCATTTGCACAACCTTGGGGTGACTCAGAGAAACAGGAAACAGGTCTCTTCTGTTTTTTCTCAAGTTAGTTTTCAGCTGGATTTTCAACAGGAAGCTGTTCTTGTTTAGCTTGATAAATATGAACACAGAAACTGGTGTTAGCAGGGGGTGAGAGCTAGAACAAGTATCTTGGGTTTTAGAAGGACAGATGGGGGGAATAGATCTCACACACAAGAGTAAGTTACCTTAAAGTTATTTTGAAATTGCAGCCCTAGAAACTACTTCATAACATGGAACACTGGATGCAAGGGGAAAGGGAAGCATTCATTGCTGGTTTGAAAACCCACTGAAACAAAGAGTAAACTTCTCAGGGAAGTATATTAAAATAGATCTTTGCCCTTTAAGCCACTTGAGTGGATTACAAAGACTTTCACAAAAACTTCCAGCATGAATTCATTAGCATTGAAAGTTGAAATGTCTTGATAGAAAATGCTAAAGAAATGTTATGATTTCTTATTTTCAGCTTTGAGACCTACACATCTAATGAAGCTCAGTGCTTCAGTCTGAAGACACTGCTTAAGCTGAATACCTTTTAAACATCAGAACAAACTATAAGTCACAGAACTGAGCTTAAGCCCTTATGGCAGAACTGACATTTCACAGAAAACTCGTTTGTCAAAAAAAGAAAGGACATTGGCAACGCATTAGCCAAACCTGAGCATGGGAGGTTAAAAGAACTAGGAATATAATAATTTACTAATTCACAACCTCAACAGTTTGCATACAGTGGGTGGATCTGGTGCTTACAGTCTCAAAATAAGACTCATTCTTTGGCCAAATGCTGACTGAGTTTTAAAACACCAGCAGGAAGGAAAGCTGAAAAATGAATGTAAATATATCTATGTTCCCTGCAGTAACTGCTATAGGAGTGTTATTTAAAGGAGAGATGTCTGTGTTACTGTCACAGTTAATAAGCTGAGCCTCAGTGGAAATGCACTGAAGAAAACACAAAAGACTTCCAGGTTTTTGTAGGTACAATGAAACCTTCTCAATTCAATCTTTACAGGTATCCCTTTAAAGGCCAACACTATCTTTCGGTTTCTTGACAGAAGAATTGACTCAGGCACAAAGATAACTAAAAGTGAATATTACTGAGTACAGGGATCTATCCATCATTCTTTTATGGAAGGTTGGATGCAAGTCTTAACCCATGATGGTAAGCTGTTGCATTTCATAGTAAAAACCTTACAGATAAATAGGCATGTTGGAATAAAGGGATGATGAATTTAAACAGATTTTTTAAAGGGATCAACAAAGGTTTATTTGCATTTCTTTAACTAATAAAAGCAAGTAAACCCCACCTTTTTTAGAAAGATCAAATTTCAGATGTTCACCCCCACATTGTTCTATTTAAAGTACAGTTTTAACAACATCTTTCTGGAAAAGTCCTTAGCCACAGTAAAACTAATGGCAGAAGCTCAGGTCAATCTATAGGTTTTGTCATTTATATTCCTGGAAGGGTTTAGCCAGACAGAACTGAGGTACTGTCAGAGGAACGTTTAGGCCTGGTATCTAAAACACTAGTGAAAGAAATACAATTTCAACTTGAATTACAATTCCGCAACCTGAATGGTGAAGGATTTTGCTCTTTGTACCCACCTGCTGGTCTTTTTTCACCTATGCTTCCTAGCCCAGCTGTCCCAGCCTCACAATTTGTTACAAAAGCTGAAACTATTCACATTCCTGACATAAAGAAAATGTAAATACCTCAAATACTTTAATATTACTGCATAGACAGATTTTGAATCAGATAAAGTGACCTGATGTCAATAGGCTGAAAATAATACCTTTTAATTTCAAAATTATTTCAAAATATGCTTAATTAGTAGTTCCAGATTATTGCAAAGATCCTCAGCTCTACTCCTTTTCTTTGCATTTATGTATTTACCTTGGGACTGAAGGGCTGACAAACACCTCAGGGTTTGGTAGGGATGGCATCCTGTCTTTTACCCCCATACATCTTTTTCTTATGTACTTGTGCTTATGTTGAGCTGACATTAAAACCCATTTAGATGTGCAAAGGCCTAGGGCAATTGCAGTAAGCAGCAGCTCTGAATGCTGACATCCAAAGAGGAATCAGGTGGAAGACAGACTTGAAACTCTTGTGCCGCAGGCTAGTCAAGGCTGAGTGTGTGATGGAAAGGGTATACTGGGTCTCAGGGGAGGAGAAGACTGCTCATTCAGCATAAGCAGCAGAGGAGATTGCCTACTTACACTCAGTGCCAGAGTTCTTGGAAGGAGCTTTAGGCAAATATACCATGCACTGGGTGTGCAGAGCTGACACGATGCAGAAAGCAGAAGAAATAAAAGCTTGTCTTGGTTCTCAGATGGTCCAGCAAGAGAAGATCCAATGCAGGCAGAGCAAAGAACATCACTATCTAAGGGTTTCAAATACCATAGCCCTTTTTCCTGACATTTTCAGATTTTAGCATCTTTTTGCTAATGAAGTTGGAATCAGTACACATCTTGGAAAATCCTATGCAGAAAGAAGTTCTTACATCACTGGGAATAATGTCTTGACACTTAATGTAATCTTATCCTATCATATGGCACAGATACTGTGTTATACCCAAAATATGATACATTTCTGTCAGACCTGGCAGCTCTGAAGCCCTCTTGACAACTGAGTTAAACAGATCAATTCCTTTAGTAGAATTAGAAAGAAAGGGACAATGAGGAAAGAAAGCAAACAGCTTCATACAGAAGGAGGAAAGCTATTGCCTTGGTGCAGAGGCTGTGGCTTCAACCCTATGGAGGTACTCTGCTGAGGTGATGCTCAGCAGCTTTGTCCCTCCTGTTCTCCAGGCTAGAAGAGTCCACAACACTTATTCCATGCATCAAGTCCTGGCTTTTGTTCGTCTTCAAAAATCTTGAGTCAAAGATTTCAAGGGCCCCCTTACACTGTGAGGCTGCAGGAATCCTGTTTGGATGGACTGCAATGACTATAAAAGACAACTCAGTTTTTGTGACCTCCATGCAAACTGCACTTCTGCCTGAAAAGCTGTCAGCCTCCATTTTACGTAAGTTACAGCAGGTTTGCAAGGTTTGCTTTATGAAAAGGAAAACAAACGAGATGAATCTGGCCACTTAAGTATGAGAACCAAAGTTTGCGACATTTTCTTTTACAAGCACCAACTACTGCAACTATTGAGTGAAAACCAGTATTTCCAACTGAAAGAATTACTGAGCCTGCATGATAGTATATCGCTGGTGTTATAATAACTACAGCTGTAACCTGCAGGATTTGTAAAGTTTATTTGCCATTGTACATAAACACAAATGTAGACTAGGTGCTTCACTCATCCCCTTTTGTCTATTTTCTAGGTTTATTATACTAGGGCTATATCTCCTACCATGCATCATGGTCATTTGATACTACATGATATGCGGGGAATCTGAAAGCATATCCTAGTATACTGACTCTGTCTGGGAAACATGGCCCACAGAAACTAACATGTTCACAGTGTCTGAATGCCAGCATGCACTGTGACGTGGAAGCATTCACATTAGGTAATGCGGTTTTAATTTGATGATTTCTTAGTATTGGTACATTAATTTTTTTTCATGCAAAGCAGACACTTTTTTGTACAAATGCTATGTTTCATTAAAAGAAAAAAAAGTTCAGGAAAAAATGTATTTGCTTCCAGAGAGATAAACTAGAAACAGCATACTGAATCAAGAAAACAGTCAATAGTTGCAAAGAGTATGAGGTCTTGAAAAATCAGAAATACTCAAACAAGATATATCCTGGAATGACCACTTACAGTTTACTTCTGCTCTGCATATATCTGACAGGTTTTCTAGAATATAATGACCTACTATTCTAGCTGTAAAGTCTCATTGATTTTTAGGGTGACAAGGAAACCCAAATATTGTTGGTTGGCGCAGCCAGAGAGCAGAAACCCAAGAGGTGGTGCTGGACTCTGTGCCCCAGAGCAGGAGGGAATTTTGCCCTTCCTGTCATAGCAGCTTGCGCATTGCTGGTGGGGTCCTGAAAGGTGCTGGCTGGCTGGGGATTGGGATTTTGCATTGCAGCAGTGTAAAAAAAAACAAAACTCAAATGCATAGTAGGAGAGAGATGCCCAGAAGAAGATGAAAATCGTACATCAGGAAGGTAAAAACAATCATCTAGTCCAAAAGATGTCAAAAAGATTTGTTCTCATCCTGCGAAAATATTGTGGGTTTCTTGAAAGAAATACTGTGTGTGTGTGTGTAGGTAATTTTATGGTTTGCAACAAGCAACTTGTCAGACAAAATGGCCTCAGTGCCTATGACTAGATGGAGCAACAAAAGAGTAACAGAAAGATGTACATGTACTGTGGGTGAAATACAGGCTGTACAACATGCAAGAAAGCATGATAACAGAATAAATAAACATCTACAGAACCTCCTCCTGGGCTTGTAGCTTGGTCATTGAGGTCAATACCTGAAAGAGGCCATGTGCAAATATTGATGGGAACTGTCTTGAAGCATAACAAGGGATCTCACTGGTGCTAACAGAATTAAATGAAGCTATCAGGGAAAAGTAGCATTTGAAGGGTGAGATGTGGAATAT